TATCAGGGCAGTACTGGAATTGGAACGAAACCATCGACCTGCATCGACCAGTTTGAAAGCAGCAAACCGGCTAAAACCTCATACCATAATTTCGACACTTATCTTAGGCATGGTTTCAAAATAGAAAAAGGTTCACATACTGCCATACTTCGTACTGGCCGACCTAGTGCCCATTTATATAAAGAATAGGAACCATCTGGTTTTCTCTCCCATTAAGCATTCGAGCGCGTGCAGAATAGTGACGAGGACATCACCAACGCAGTGGCGGTCTTCAGGTAGCGACTAACCTTAGCGACCAACTTCATACTAAACCACACATACATTTTGGCCGCGGACCCCTATCTCTAGGATCTGGATTAGGTGAGAGATCAAATCAGCGAAGTCTCGCAACACCGAACTTGTATTCCGGTTGACCCAATTCCCTGTGAGAGTGCGCACAGTGAAGATTTTCCTCGTGGTATCTTACCGCGCCTCATGTTTTCTATCCATGGTCCGTATCTAGTAAGTGCCACACTTACCACTGGCAACCTTCAAGCTTGTCGTTTTCACGTTGATTTTATTCGCCTTTCGAAGCGGCGCTGATTTTTCTGAATTTATTCCAGAAAACCCCCGACAGTGCCGCTGAATAAGCCTGTTCTTTCTCTTGGTCCTCACCGGTTCTTTCATAATCGTGCTCCAGACTCAACAACAAAGCCAGAGAGCCAATCCGGGCCGTGCTTTCCCTGTCAACCTCAGCTACATACACACAACAGTACATTGAGAAAAGAACACACTGCTTAATCATGATCACATAGTGCAGATCGCTCACAGAAATGTCTAGAGAACGCCTTAGCGCCCTCTCCAGTCGCCCTTGTCACACACGAAATCCAACAAGACCTTTGAAGCCTTCCATGAAATGACAGTCAACTTCCCGCTGTATGATCAGCCCGTTCAAGGCACAGACGACGGTCCCTCCTCCCAAGGCTCCTTCCACTACCAGGCGACCACGAGTCTCAGCAGCTACTGCTACTGCGGCTAACACCCGCACACCAGAAGCTGTGAGTAATTCGATAGCAGCACACATAGTGTGGCCAGTCTCGATCCACTGGTCCACTACGATAACACCAGTGCTAGCCGCAGAGACAGACACATGTAATGGAGACCTGATTTCCAGCCTTTTAGTCTTGCCAGAATAGTCGACATAATCAACACCAATGGTATGAACACATAGCTTATTGGCCTTGCGTATGATAATGAAGGGAACGCCTATCAAAGCACTGAGGGCTCCTCCTGTGATGAAGCCAGTCGCATCGACACCAGCCAACGCTGAAACGCTGTCCTCTCCCACCACAAGAGAGATCTTCGCGCGTAAGTCCTCCAGTAGAGCCGACCAGGCATACTTATCACCATAGATCGCTGAAGGATCAAGCCAGGCAAAGTCTCACTCGGGGCTACATCATACCAGCATACCATGGGTACCCACGACATTTGCATAAGAGTTTGTCCAGTTTGCCAACATCAAACTCATGCAAAGACTTCGAGACACCAGTAGCGACTATGATGCAGTCGACGTAGGGCAAATATTCGTCAATGTTCTCGGGCGTGACCCCAACGCCAACAACATCCCTATCGTCCTTCTCATATACAGGCACCAAACCATTCGGGGTGGTGGTCAATAGGCCCCTCCTAAATTCAAGAGCGCAATCAGAATTGAGTTTCACATATTCAATCCAATACACAGTAGCACGGCATCGGTCAACCATTTCAGAAAGCCAGTAACGATGTCGCGTAAATGTTGATGATGACGAGCATGTTTCAAGGTCGCTATAAACCTTAGCCGGTACGCCCTTTAGCATTGGGCTCATGGTCTGTTCGTTGGCGGGCCTTGCTCAATATGAACTCGGGAGCGATCTGGATTCGTGATGTGGTTGCAGAAATAAAACGAAACATCAACATCTATAGAGCATTAAGAAGATATTACTATACTAGCACTCGTACATTTACCGTTGACACAATTTCAACGTACACTAAGGTTTAGGACATTGAAATGTTCCCCACTAAGCGTCAACTGCATGTCGACATTGGCCGCCCCTCAAACACCAATGTCTCTTTGTGTTGGAACAGTTGACATCGTCGCAACGAATAACATCTTCTTGATCTTTCACCAGCGTTTACATTGAGGAGCTCTTCAATTGAGGGCTGCCGGCCGTATTATCAATCACTGCCGACCCCCCTCCCCCTTCTGGTAGAGGAGATTTACCCCACTCCATGAGTAGCTCTGATGATGCGTTATTTACATAAAACATGAGAGATATCAACAGAAATTCCCGTTCCGACCCAAGTAGATTATATAGCTCCTACTCGATAACACAACAGCAATAATCAGTTGAATTTCATACAAGAGTTGTCGATGTTGCTACACCCGCTACTGCCGTTGTGGTCTTCGGAGGTTTCAGCGGGCCGCCAAGAACTGAAATGGACCATTTCCCTCACCATTAAAAACGCAAGCGAACATCATCATCAATACTCCACTTCTCCCCAACCACCCAAAAGCATTCCGTTCGATTCCGCCGACATTCTAATGAGTTTTGATTCTCTTCCCGATGATGACGAACCACACAGGAACCATAGTGTTACACAATACCGCTGTGTTTCGAACCACGAGAGCATGTTTTCCGTAGTGGAAACGGTTAATAATGAAAGTGATATGAGAAAAAATGCAGTGGCATTTATACCCTTCGTGGCAACAAACTTTTCCATATCAGCTCGCGTCTTGCCAGCGACCGACGAGCCTAAATTCACATTCAGCGCTAGTCGGGATTTCTTGGAGCTCTTCCGGAGTAGTCTCGAACCTGACCGCCACATTCCAATTCACCTGCTTCAGTGCTTCCTCCCACCAGATGGACGTTTATGTCCCCCCTTAGCAGGAAAAGTCGCAGACTGCAGCCTCTTGTGGGGTAACCTTTTCCCATAGGCAACATAGTGCAACTGAGAAATCGATAGTTTTGCTACTTCGATAAGCCGACTCTTACTTGATCTCGAAGGCGTATGTCGGGAATAAGAGATGACACCTTTAAAGTGTCGTTGCAGCCCGGACACTTATTAGGCCACAACGTGCCGTCCACACAAGAGTGTGTTCTGAAAAATAAAGACCATCGTAGTACCAGGACCAACATATTTCCCTATTACTTCGCTAAATGTTCTATCACACATTTCCGACAGTATAAATTCGCACAGCACGGCGTGATCTCAGCTTCTACTCGTAGTTGATGACAGATTCCACACGACAACAATAGGCCTTGTACACGCCAGTCGGCATCGGAAAATACCTGCAAGACCACCACGGCGATGACCGCTTCCGAATAGTCGATTTCGTTACTCTCGTTAGACGTTCCTTTTCGGACTCTCCCACAATCTTCTTCCTCTCCTCATCAGACACTTGCTTCATCACAGCATAATCACCTGAAGTTAACAACGTTCAGACAAGTGCGGTAGTAATCATCACCATTAGGAAGGATATAAACGTCCTCTGTCATGTCCTGAGCCTCCTCGCGGGTGACAATACGCAGGAATTGCCGAGGAACTCCTCGAGCCGACTTAACCTGAGAATGCCTGCTTCTTTTAAAAGGAGTCAACTCCCTCACCTTCTGCTTCGAGGCATATGTGGGGTCATCGTTAGTCGGACAATCGTATATATAATGGCCGGCCTCTCCACAGCGATGACAGCGGTAATGAGGAGGGGGTACGGCTTTGGTCTGTGCAGAGGAGGCGGAGGCATCATCGTCAACTCTCCTCCGAGGCTCTGGTCGTTCACCATACCTTTAGACAAGCATTACAACTGAGATGTCCCGGGTTCGAATCCCAGGGCGGTCATCTCCTCCTCGTTACCTTATTGCGGGTCTTATTATCTTCCGTCCACTGCCATCAACACTCCCCGGGACATCAGGACAGACCACGCTGATATCATGGCCCGCTATAAGAGAGTCTATCGCGGCGATCTCAGACTCGTCCTCTCCCTCTAGGTCGACAACAGGCCGCCGCCGAAGCTTCTTATGGACGGATGTCTGCGCCATAGAGGTAAGTCAACTAATAATAGCTTCTATTACACACACTAACGGAGAAGAAATACCCTCACCAGGGATCGAACCCGGGATGTATCAAACAAACTCAACAAGTAATCCCAATTTCACACCCGAAGCAACAAAGACTACCATGACTACAATGATAATGATGATGATGATGATGATGATGATGATGATGATGATGATGAAAAGAGTCTCGGACATCGCAGATAACTCACATACTGCCACTTACGACAACGGCCGTAGTTGTGAGAAGCCAACAAACTGGCCCTATACAAAGACTGAATCCAGGCTATATTATCGCCGCCGACAAGGGTCTACAGGAGAGCACCTTTGGTGATTCCAAGTAAGGGGAGGAATCTGAGGAAAACAAGTTGCTTGAAAATTCGGCGAGAAATGGATACTAACTCGAACCGCCATGGCCATCGTCTCGCGTCTTATTCCTACTACTGAGCCTCCTTTTGATGGTGAAGACCGAAGCCAGCAAGAGGGCATCATACACAAATCACTATTAGCGATGGGAAGAAGTATAACACTAGGATGGAGCTATTGAGAGAGGTCGTAGGTCAGATCCTCATCACAACTCATTGGAAATCACCTCTCACTTTGAGCTAAAGCAGTGTTAACGAGTTCTCCGGCATTTCGTTAAGTTAACGTCTAACTCGCGTACTGCCCCGAGGGGATATCCCCTACGACTGGAGTGAAAGATCGACCTTCCTTACTACCACTGTGTGACGGTCTAGGGAATCTATAGAGGCCCGGCGGAAGAGGACAGAGGGCTCACATGCCCTGGGGCTGGTCTCCATTGCAGTAGAGACGGCAGTGAGGCGGAGCACTGTAGTGGAGGAAGGAGTGACCTCATTGCCTCCCTGTCGGGTAACCTGCTCCTAATATAGACCTACCATGAGCATGATGCCACCAGCAATAGCAATGTAGAGCCTCCTTTCATTAATATACTACTACCACCAATACTAGACAGCCTCCCTTATCATAAGCCCAGTTCTACTAGATAGCCTCCCTTATCATAAGCCCAGTTCTACTAGATAGCCTCCCTTATCATAAGCACAGTTCTACTAGACAGCCTCCCTTATCATAAGCCCAGTTCTACTACTAGACAGCCTCCCTTATCATAAGCCCAGTTCTACTACTAGACAGCCTCCCTTATCATAAGCCCAGTTCTACTACTAGACAGCCTCCCTTATCATAAGCCCAGTTCTACTACTAGACAGCCTCCCTTATCATAAGCCCAGTTCTACTACTAGACAGCCTCCCTTATCATAAGCCCAGTTCTACTACTAGACAGCCTCCCTTATCATAAGCCCAGTTCTACTACTAGACAGCCTCCCTTATCATAAGCCCAGTTCTACTACTAGACAGCCTCCCTTATCATAAGCCCAGTTCTACTACTAGACAGCCTCCCTTATCATAAGCCCAGTTCTACTAGACAGCCTCCCTTATCATAAGCCCAGTTCTACTACTAGACAGACTCCCTTATCATAAGCCCAGTTCTACTACTAGACAGCCTCCCTTATCATAAGCCCAGTTCTACTAGACAGCCTCCCTTATCATAAGCCCAGTTCTACTAGACAGCCGCCCCTATAGTTCTCAGCCTACTATTACTTGTCGATGAGAGCATTCCCCAACATAGACCTCCTACTACCCGTAGTGGATCCCCTCCTACGATATGCTCAATCCTAGCAGTGTTGCCATACAGTCTCCTCTATTATTACTATCTTCCCATCATAGCCAGACTACTACAGTAGAACTCAATACCACACATTACAAGAAATCGCTTAAAAATTCAGCATGAACAGCGAGCGTAAAATGACACGCATAAATTTAAAAGTGCCGCTGGGGATCGAACCTCCGCACTTGTCAGATCACTCCCCACCACACGAACTCTGTGCCATAGTAGATTCACAAATCGATTCCTTTGGAACAGCACTATTCCCTTCAGTCTGTGTCTATTATTAACTTGTATTATTATGGTCCCCTCACGAGGGTCGGCATTCGCCGTTCCCCTCCTCTACTTTGCCATTTCAGTGTTCATCGCCTACCCTCCTCAACGTGGCCATCTTGGACTATCATCACCAACCACAGTATCCTCTATAGGCCCCAACGCCGTACCAGCATGCAGATGGTCGTAGTGTACTGATGGGCACCAAACATGGTCGCGGTATAATGACATGGGAGCACGATAAACTCACTCAAGTGCAATGAGCTGAAAGATTGGTAGTAGTGTGACAGGAATTACTGCTGTTCCTATGATCACATGTGGTTGCCTTACCACGCCTTTTTGAAATCACATCAAAATCACTGAAGAGGATCTGAACGAATCTCAATCTTACTGGATCTCATTCCAATACCTGTAATTTATAGGCGAATAGCTGTAAACGACGAATGCACTTCTCGAGCACGAAAACTCTCATGTCCTTCACTTACAAGGCTCTCTATCCCTCGCTACTGTCGCTACTAGTAGGTTCATAACAGTTTCGCATCAATGCCTTATACTAGGTATTACAGGCATACGAAAGTTGTGTGGAAGAGCCGTCCGGTGTGGATTCAACTGGAAGACCAGCAGAAGAAACTGTATCCTCACAAGACTGCCAACAAGGGTATATAATGATTAATCATCATCAACTGAACTTGCCTGCTTTTCCCCTCAGTGCTGTATAGAGCCCTTCACCTACTCAACACCCGAACCAATCACTGTCAGGGTCAGGTGGGCACTGCTTGTAACACGGATTGGCCATAGACCCATGAATTTGACTCTAGGGGGGATTCAGTAGTAGTGGCGGAGCTTGGGAGGAACCTTGATGAAGTAGAGACTGCTTTACGAAGGGAAAAGCAGAGAAGTGATATCCTACGGTGAGTCGGGTGGTAGTAGAGCACACATACTAGGCATCATTTGCAGCAAGCCATTAGTCTCAACTGTACGGCTCCTCTTTGACTTGCCAGCAGCGACTTCGGAGGAGGAGTCGTCTCGCATGTCGTGGCAGATGCCTTTCAACGCTTGTTATCATTGCATATACGCCTTCTGCGGAGGGGCACACGACTGTTGATATCAGCAAAGCCTCGGGTATCCTCTACCACTGTGGTATCATCAACAACATGCTCATTGCTTAAGACGTCTGTAGTGGCAATACGATTGCAAGTCGACGAAGAAGAGTGTTGCGTTGTAGATAGTCGGAATTGGAGGAGATCAGGGAAGTCTCTTATGCGAATCAGTTAGTCATCATCGTCATCGGTAACAATGCCTCCTCGTAAGGTAAGGCCGACCCCGCCACCTCACTTGCTGCCTTTCACTCAGCATCCAATGGAGTGGTCTGAACTCCCTCCCCTAGATGAGACCTCCTCTGTATGTTATCACGGTGTATCCACTTTCACGGACGCTACCAAACTACACCCGATCACAGTCGGGGTGGATGGAGACGCACTTGACTCATTTAGAGGGGGGTGTGTAACCACTAGGCCGGTGGGCGTCGTTGTGGCTTGTGGCCACCAGGAGGAGGAGGTTTCCGCGACCAAATCTCGTCTGGAATCGCTCGCGAGAGTGTTCGGCTCTCAAGCTGTAGAGGCTCTGCTTTTGACTGATAGGCCTCGGCCAACTTCTGAAGAGGCTATTGAACTGTGGAAGGGGAAAGTGGGCCCGTTGAGTGAGGCGGACAACGCTGAAGGACCATCGGAAAAAATCATGTTGATGCTGTGTGGACTGCCGTGTAGTGGCAAGTCGACATTATCACAACACTTTCTGGTCCCGGCGGGCTACGTCAGAGTTTGCCAAGATGTGCTCAAGTCCAAGGAGAAAACCTTAAGAGAAGTAGAGCGGCTCTTGGAGGAAGGCCGGAGCGTGGTGCTCGACCGCACCAACACTGACAAGGCTCAGAGGGCGCCTTTCATCAGTTTGGCCAACCGCTTTAATGCTAGGGTGTGTGTCTGCGTGCTGGACACCGAAAGGGAAACCTGTCGGGCTAGGTTGAAGTCGCGCGAGGTGCATGAGGGAAAACCCCTGACTGCGAACCAGAGAAACTCTCTGCTGATCGGCCTGGGCATGATGACGAAACGATGGGAATCTCCTACACTTGAGGAGGGCATCGATGAGATACGAGTGGCCAGTACGGTTGACGAGGTGCGACTATTGGGGGAACACTACCGAGCCGCTCTGAGGGAGGTGAATGAGGAGGAGCCTCAAGCGAAGCGTTGCAAAGTGTTGGATAATTACATATGGCGGCGTTGCGTGAAGTTCAATTCGGTTTATCGGCGGGTTTCTCGATCATAGCAGAACATACTTTACTCACTGAGCAATAGATGCTGCAGTGGAAGCACTGCGAACCGTGAATTCCAATAGTCACCTGGGTTGCCTTACAACGGCCATTCCTGAGGATGAGCACGATATCAAAGTGCTACATCAAATGAATGCTTCCACGGTATTAGCGCGAAACTCGCCGGAGTGTAGAATTGAAGTGGAATACTAAGCGTAGCTCGAACCTTCGGGCACACCCGAGATCCAGTCAATTCGCTGACCACTGTGGTACTCCATAACGCAAGACACCGTTCAACGATAATCACATGGGAGCACATTTCCGTTTGATTCGTGCTCTGAATCTATCAAGTGTAGTAGACATGTCCCAAGGCAGGATTGCCCCCTGTGGAGGACGACCTCGAAATCTCTGTTTCTCTTGACCACGCTCTCCACGACTGTTGTCGGTCTACAACAATTACTTCTACAGCGTACTCAAGAACCTAGAATTGCAACAACGTACATGTGCAATGGATCTTCTTATCGTTGGAGACGGCTCGCCGCCATCAGCACCAGATGGCAGCAAGGACCTCAAGCCCTCAAGGCCCCGTTGAGCAGCGAGCATCTCAGTCTCGAGTTGGCCCATTCGACAAAGTAGAGAGCTAGCGCCGATGGAGGAAGTCGGAGACGCCTGAAACTAATAAGTGCTTCAGAACCTCTGAATGAGGCCAACAGCGATTCACCTGTTCCCTAACCGGGCTCGTCCGAGCAGTCACCATGTTGCACTTCATTGGCTGCTCACAGTTGGTCTCCATCGAATCCACCTGCCCATCATCGTAGTAGTCACTCGATGCGTGCCCCTGAGATATCAAGAACACGGAGGTCCGTGACTGGACCATCCGCTGTCCCTTCTCACAGGGCAAGTCGTCAGGCCAAACTGCTCATCGAGGCCAGGGCTTGCGGCCCTACTGTTGCTTAGTCTCTCCTCGATGCGCTCAACTGAGGGAACACCCGACATCACCGAGAGGCACACTGTTCTTTTCTGAGGAATTCCTCCCCAGGTAGCACACTCCTACCGCAACATGCCTTACGTCTTTTCTCCAACCTTTTGAAGCCTTCACTGTATTCTTCCACACGCTGAGTGGGGAGCAGGACCTCCAATGCTTCGGTGTCTATAATGATATCGCTGGTCTCATCCCATTTCCAACCGGCTCCTGTCATCGGACGGCCCCACCGTTTTGGCAGAAAGGGCGGCGCTCTCGGCTCGTCCATCAACTTTCTCGACGAACTCGAACAAGCCCTTTGAGTGGTACGATGGTCTCTATCATCATCAGTTGAGGGCGGAGGGCGTCGAGCCTCCACCGGCTGGATATTGAACCGGAGAGCAAGAGGAAGCTGAGTGATGCTTGCTAGTCCAACTTGATGATATTTCTCGAGCCGCTCCCACTCGTCCTCCAGTCCTCCTCCTTGTACTCGACGCTTGATCGACCTAGCCTCTCTACTATCGCGGCCCTCAAGGGCTTCCCGTGTGGACCTTAGCCGTAGGAGATGCTCTCGGAAATCTATAGCCCTAAGCTGCAGTTGAGGGAATATGCTGTTCTGTGCTGCATTGAGCATCGATGTCCATAAGGAAGATCACTGAGTGTGCTCAAGTTCAAACCTTGAATGATTTACTAGAAAAGGAGAGTTGGGCGACTTCGGCTCCTTTGACTATTCCAACGCGTATGGACAACTTCTCGAGAAAACCACCCGAAGACATTGTCGAATTGCGAAGGGAACCACTAAGAGGTTCTCCTTTGCACCAAGTTCATCGATAATGGTTTTTGCTACACCAAGGCCCATTCGTCTTGAGAAGGCCCACAGGAATCGTTTGGTGGGAACCCTTGTCCTAGGTTCAACACATTACTAGTTGGAGCCTTTGGTCTCGCTACTATCTTTCTAAGCGAAGGAATCTAACTTGCCATCAACTTCGGAGCCTCAAGCGTCACAGCCAAAGAGAGCGCCAAGAGTGACACCAGAGCTGACGAGTACTATGATGATGTATTGACAATAAAACAGACCGAGACTAACTCAGAAAGAATATGAATGTTGAGGATAAACAGGTCCACAGCAGTAACATCATCATCAACTGTTGTTGTTGTTGCTGCTACTGCTCTGACTTAGCAATTATACATTCTCTGGACCCGATGCAGGCCCATGATAGTGTTCTTCAAAGTCGGACCGACACAGCGGACACGTAGTAGCGGTGTTGAGCCAGTGAGCCAGGCAGCTCTTGTGGAAGTAGTGGTCACAAGGAGTATCTGAATAAAGTCCATGATGGGAAAGGTCAAAGCTCCCTTTCCTCACGCTTGATCTCGTCAGTGGAATCAGAGTAGTTCTGAAAGCATATCGAACACTCGTTTAGAGGATGACTGCCGTCCGCCGAGTTCTGGTCGTCTACAAATAGCGTCGAATCATATCTGACAGAATACATACCGCTTCTTAGCCCAGAGGTGTACTTACTGAACAGTTGGGATCTTGTCAATAACGTCAGGCGAGGCCCCTCTCTTGGCACGCAGCCGACCTGTCCGGACCTAACATGGGCAGATGTAGGAGGCGATGATGATGATGATCTGTTACCATCCAGAGTAAGAAGGTGGCACCAAAGAGAGCTACAATGCCGAAACCACACCATATGGTCAGCCCAACGCCTATGAACCAAGCTGAACAGGTGTACCTGAGTGAAGGCAAATCAGCGAGAGCAGATTAGAATACATAAGAAAGACCTACAGTGAGGAGTTGGTCGCTGAACAGGTATGGGAGGTCACTAGCAGGGTCTGACCGTAGATCAACCAGGCCGGGAAAAAGAGGTTCAAGAAGCTTTTCAAGAGGGCTAGCTTCACTGGATGCTCACTGGCTGAGACAGAGGGGTCCTGTTAGTGAGGAAAGAAGACTATATAAACCCACCGTGTAGTTGCCAGTCCTGGCCGTATGTTAGTCGTAAATACAAAGTCTCGACCATTCGCTGGAACACTCCTCGAAATAAGGAGGCTAGCATGTAGACCTCTAGCCACATGAGAAGAGGAACGTCACATTCCAGCTGAAACCAAGGCGAGAGGATATCTCGAAGACAAACCTGTATAGTTGGCTTACCTTCCGGTCGTTGGTGAGGACGATCCAGATGGCCCAGGCCCAGAGGTACAGGTACATGGCATATACAACAACAAGGATAAACAGCGCCACCTAACATGGTGAGCAATCCAGCCTCGATGATAGAGAGTAGAGGTAGGCCTACTGTGACCAACAATGTGAAGGAGGTTGCCACAGCCTCTGCCAGGTTACCACGGACTAGGAGCTCCCTCTCTCGCCTGACAAAGCACTGACTTCACCCCCCATAGTATGACGAGCGCTTACCGAGACATGCGGTTTGGGTCAGACCCTTGCTCAGGGCCCAACAGCGATGAACCTTCAGGGGACGTCCCAGGTGTCTGAGAAGCACGAGTGATAGGCGTTAATGATGAATGCCAAGTCGATCTCACCGCGGTGTCGGGCATGTGGCCAGAACTTATCGGTCTGGGTCCACCAGCGCGACCACCGATGATCTGTGAGAAGGTCCGCAATAGTGCGACAGGCGGGTTCCTATGGCGGTCAGCGGCAGCTGATCCACCACCGAGGAGAGCATCAGATGATTGGGCGTGGTCGCGAGGACCTCCGTCGGTGGACATGCTCACACAAAACTATCAACGACAAGCACTGACAAAACCCAGTCAACCATTCTAGATCGAGTGAAGATAATACAGTCTAAGAATAGCAGTGTGAATTCGGACAATTTCCTCAGTGAAATGTGACGGCCCATAAATTTCAACACGTTATACGGCGATCCATGAACGCTACTATGATCTATACACTGTACCTACAGATGGTCGAGATCTACGGATCCAGGACGAGTCATGGTCACCCATATATGGATTACTGTACGGCTGTATGGTCAGAGCTATCAACAGAGTCTCACTACTCCTGCATGTTCATAACGATGCTCGGAAGCTATCAACACACGGAAGCTGGGCGACAAACCTAACAGTATCACTGAGGAGTACAGCAGATGGAGTAGAGACTGTAATCCATCTCTCAATATCCCCGTATGAACGCAACATTAGAGATGTTTCTGACCACACCTTGAACGACAGCGTAGTCGACAAGAAGCAGGACTGAAGTTTTGATCACTATGAAAAATATGCAATTCTCAGACAAATGTAATGATCGTCGGAAACTCTATCGTTGCATATAGTCAGTGCTCGCGAAATTAACACAAGTCGCGGCATGAACAATAACAATACTAAGCAGCTCAGTTAAATGCTAGATGGGCCACTTGCTCAGCCAAGGCCTTCACCAGAGGTTGCCCAAGTACATCGTCACAGTTAGGTCTACGCCGTGGGTCGGGCTGCAAAGGAAATATTAGTAGGGAATCAGGCATTCACTTGAACCAGCATGCTAGTAGTGGTACATGGTCCACCTTGCTGATGAGCCTACCTGTGTCAAGGCCTGTATCATCATCGGCAGGTCTCCTCTAGATGCGTGGTTCCGTGGGCCTGTTAGAGCCGTATGCTGAGAGAACAGCGATAGACATAAGGCACGAAGGGCTGTCAGTTTAACCACGCAGTGATGAAGACTACTGCCAAAGCCCGATGTTAGGATTCTCTGAGAGCATCCAGACTTACACAATCCCTTATTATAGCTGCACACTTCTGAGGGTCGCTATCATACATGGGTACCTGACCTCGGCAGGCCGCGATACAGATACAAACCCGGCTAAATGGGAACATACCACGTAGGGATAAGGGCGTGCTATACTATATCTATACAACTATATCTGTAGGTGACATTTGTGGAAATTCTGGAGGGAAATTGAGGAGATTCTCATCGATTTTTCTGCATTCTACTCGAATGTGTATATTCGTGATGAACCTCCCAGACTCAGCCGAGGAAAGCGAACATACATTTCCCAATACCTGGTTATAGCACATAGCATAAAGCACTATTCCCAATGACCACATATCGCATCTCTCATCGTAGACAACTTTATCAGGATTCAGGAACGCCGCACGAAGCACCTCTGGAGCTGTGAATTCCACCGTGCCTTCGATGAGTGTCGTCACAACTCGTCACAGTGAGAGGAGATTCCCTTACCAGTAAAGCCAGTATGGGACTCAGACGTCCCCCCAGCGGCGAGCTCAGCAGTGCCAAAGTCGCTGACCATCGCTCTTAGTCCCTTCTGGCCGCTGCCCAGAACATAGTGAGAACCGTCCATACGGGCCATACGATCCGGATCAGATGTAAGCAGGATATTCGTGGGCTTTATATCACGATGAAGAACTCCTATGAAACACAACATCATCACTAAGGCGTTTTCCCTATACCCACCTAAATGATGTAGGTGCTGCAAGCCTCTAGCTATGTCGACGAACCACTGCCATATTTGTCCATCCGATAGTCTCCGCGGATCGCTGTACTCTCCCGGTACTGCTGCTGCTGCTGAGGAGACATCATCTTCTCGCTGCTGACTCTGGCCACTTTCCAACTTGAGTAAACTACGACGCCTTCGTCGTATTGCCTCTACTGTGGGGAAGGGTTGGCCTCCAGGCGACCTGAACCGCATCGTGTGAACAGACCGCAGTGGAGTTGGAAGTACCCGAATATTCTGTCCGCCAGAGAGCCACCATCACAGAATGACATGAGTATGAAAAGGTGTGGTACGTAGGGACAGAATTCATTAGAACGATGGAGTTCCAACCTGGAGAGTGCATACGCCATAATAGAGGCGATATACTCACCAGCTGTGCTTATACGACACTATATTGGGATGAGCCGCAATCCTCTCAAGAGTCTTCACCTGGAGAAACAAAGTCAAAGGTACAGTTCACACCACAGAGGTGACTTTTCACACTAGAGGAGGACCTAGAAGTTAGAATATAAAGCTATATTGGACAGAAACTGTCCGCAATCGATTTTCGAATAAAAATGTTCTCAAGGCACTTGCTCAGCACGCGTCCAAGCCCGATATCGAACCCAAGTCCAGCTGCTGCTACTACCTCTCGAACCATCTTCCTGAGCCAGATCCTATTGTCCCCTACTGGGACCTTCTTAACGGCATAGTCGCCGAGCATCACCTGGAGGGATATTAAGGACAACTACAAAGCCTTGACCTGTTACCCCGTCTATGACGTGCTCGCAGTGATACACTGTTCCGAATGACCCCGAGCCGAGCCGTTGTGGCGATTCCTGAAAGAAATCATCGTGTACCCCGAAAGGACCTATTCCGTATCTTGCACGGGCAACCTAAAGATTCTCCCACCTTGAAGAACCTCTCATAATATCCATTGTTGAGCATGCCCACAGGGATGTCCCTCAACTCCGACTCAGCTCGAAGGAATGGATTATTAGAGCCAGAGGACGATGACGACGTATTCGAGGGAGAGCCGCCTCCTCCACCACCACTAGGTCTACCAAATCTGCTACTGGTGCGTCGCAATGGGATTCCATCCTCCCCAGACATCGTCGATACTCGAGAGTCCTGAAAGGCCACTACAACATGCTGGACATCATCAGGGATGATGAATATAACACCGACGGAGGTTCGGTCCCTGGCAAGGTCACTTTTTGTTGTAATATAATGCGAGCTCTCATGGGCCCTGTGCGATATGAGCATTCAACAGCACTACTGATAGCCCTTATACTCACAATGAAAATCAAGGTCGATAGCATATTCTATCTAGACATGCTATAGAGCAGCAGATGTGAGGTCTGAGGGTATTACCATAGTCATGTGACGATGTCGTCTATTGCGTTTGCTCGGTAGGTGTTCCTCTTCCTCTCCCATAGTGCTGTCCTCAGGCTCATCAGAGGAGGAATAATCAGCTGCTGGTTGGGATGCCTTCACGGCGCGGTAGAGATATTGCAGCATTTTGAAGTAGTTCTGGACAACATACCTGTCAGCGAAAAGTATCTTCCAATTCGCCTGGGCTCCCCAACAGACAATTGTATTTCTCATTGATACCACACCACCACCACTTCTAGTCGTATACACCCCCTCATACTGTGGTAAGTTATGGGCTATACGTCGATTGCACAGTGGCCAGCTATGAGTTTGCCGAGGCCCCCCAACAGGCTATTGTGTTTCTCACTGATACCACACCATCACCACTTCTAATCCTCTACACCCCCTCCTACTGTGACTGGCTATGGGCTATACGTTGATTGCACAGAGGACAATAGCCAGCTATCAGTTTACCAGTGATACCACACCATGACCACTTCTAATCCTCTACACCCCCTCCTACTGTGATTGGTTATGGGCTATACGTTGATTGCATAGTGGGCAGTGACCGGCTATATTGCTCATCATAGCTCCGTTATTAGGCGATGAACACGATGAGAAGCTGTGGTCCCTTGGGACTAACTCGTCATCATCGTCTTCCTCAGCTGCAGGGAACCCATTAGGGAGGGACCTGCTTCACCCACTGCATGAAGACCAACATCCCCACGCCACTACTACCTCGACACGAGCTGCTTAGATGCCATATTATACAGAACTATAGCCTCCTTATCATCATCATCATTAGCATCAGCATGTTCCATGAGGGCAGCAGGTCGGTCGGAGTGGCTTGCCGCCGCTGCCGGAACGCTCGAGAAGGCCTCAGGCATCGCTACTAGGTGCTGCAGGAGTCGAGCAGGAGCCTCTGCACCCTGGAAGAGGAGGAGCGATGATTGGTACCAAAAGTGACATGGAGCTCGATACTACTTCACTGCTGTTGCTGTTGTCAGCTGCTGCCTGCAACTTACTCATTAAAAAGTTGCTCGTCGTATTAGCAATAGAGGACAGCCTCAAGGCTTATTATCACTAACAACCACAAACGACACATCTCATCGCCGTTCCCTCTGCACCGAAACAGTAAAGGGTCAGAAACAAACGAGGACTCATAATTTCCGTATTATCATCAGCACGTATAGCTGACCATATGAAAATTTTTCCTACACTAAAACGAAGTCCCATGCCAACACTTAGACCCGGCCATTCCCCCTGTGAGCCTCCACTGTACGTCAACTCAACAATAGTGGCTTCTCGACAGCAGCGAATATTCATGTAAATTTCAAGTCTCTGCTTTTTACCCACTCAGTGGTATCATCCATATAACGGACCTGTCACAGCCGTCTACATTACCACACCTTCTCAGTACAGTGTAGTAAAGTATGCACAATGTCAACCACATGTGTTGGTAACAATATGAAAATTCTGAGGAAATTTTGGAAAATTCTTTTTAGTTTCTGTACATTTCTCGTATATTCTCCTTAATAAATATATAAACTCCTAAAGTATTGAGCTCATCAGCTAAGGAAAGCGAACATGCCAGCACTACCGCAGTACCCACTTACAAGAAGCTCATAGTCTTCCTTACCACCTCTATCACCCAACACTACACACGGAAACTTCCCTCCATCTCCAAAAAGCCGTATTGCCTTCAAAGGCTTAAAGCCTCGGCTCTTTCTCAGCATAGTACAGGCCGAAGCTTCCTCCTCAAAATCAGACTTTTTCTCCTCGACAGATTTTTGTCCGAAATTGGGAAGACTCTCATCAGCATTTTCCAGCTTTTGACGCAGTAAGTCTTCAAAGGCTGGCAGCTCGCTAGCGGTATGATGCTCTTCTCGAGATCGCTGTGGAACCGTCATGGAAACCGGTCTGAAAGTGATCTGCCCATCGAGACCTCTAGATTGACGGAACGCTTTAGCAGCCATTTCCCATTCATTTTCCGACTCGCCGATCGGTAGTCTTCCATTACGGTCAGCGTGGTCCTCTTCAACTGGGTTCCCTAGATCTGTTATATGACCTTCGGAAGCCTGCACTGCCTTGTCGTCTACAACGGTCTTGGACGGCTCTTGTTTTTCCCGTAGCTCAGTCGGATTGATTACTCTGTAATCAGCACTAAGATCCTCACGAGAGGCGCCAGAGACGGCTGGGCTGGTTAATAGCGGATTCCTATTCGGACCGTTGCGATCCCACAAGATGTCACTCGCAGGAATAGAACCGACAGCCTCTCGATTACCCATCATTGAGAGAGGCCTATATCTACTATAGTACATATCCATACGAAAATTCCGTCGCTCCTGTTGCTTCATATCCTGCATTCCTCGGTCCAAGAAGTCCAACTGCCTCTGTAACAGGGCCATCTTACTCTCCCATCCTCTAGGCTGCAACCGGGGTAGACCATCTTCTGATGTAACGCGGGTGTGGTATAACATAGTTTAAAAAATTGAAACTTCATACGATCTCTAGAGGGTAAACGAGCCCACATGCTCTAACGGAAAAATGTCCTAAAACTCTCCTCAGCTAACCCCATCGAATAAGACGCTATATAATACCTCTACCAAGACACTGTTAATGCAACGCTAATATGAACCAATCAACGATCAAAGAGACTAGCGCAATGTTACTACCACAACGGGATTATCCACTTCTAAAAGTCTACAAGAGGGAAATATTGGTGGCTCATGCTGTGGCCATCCCGAACTTTCATAGCGTTCCCCTCGACACGATAGAGGCACTCTGGTAGTGTGATGTTGAATGCTAAGCTCAACTATGAGTTTCGTAAAGTGTCTATTGAGGTGTAGTTGGTTTTGGAGACTCAACAGCTCTCCTCATTTCCTATTGGAGTTAGTGGCGATCCAAATCCATTGAGAGGCGATATGATAGTTTATTAATAACAATAGACCAGCATATGATAACCAATGATAGATAGCATATACTATATATACTAATATGTTAATATTCAATTTCATTATTATAATATCTTACTGCTCCATAGTAAATGTTTTTAAATCAGATGTTACATGTAATACAACTTAGTCACCCGATTTCCAAAATAATTTCAATAACAGGCCGATGAATTCTTGATAAGAAGCTCAGCGAGCTCCGCCCCTTCGCAGCGAAGACCTGGTAATATGGTGATATTCACCATGAATATATAATCATTGTGTTTCATCATGGTGTTGGTGATGTAATAAAATATGCACATGGTCAACACAAACATCTGTTGGTGACAAGATGAAAATTCTGAGAGAAAATTTTGACAAATTCTCGTTGGTTTCTGACACCCTCATCCTAATTCGTATATAAACTCCTAACAATGCACATGGTCAGCTTCATGTGTTAACAGCAACATGGGAATTCTGAGGAGATTTTGGGAATTCTCATTGGTTTATGTACACTTCTACCAAAATTAATGATGAATTTTGTACATAAACCAATTACGACTTATTCATATGTAAACTCCCCACTCGGGAGTCTCGAGCTCAGCTGAGGGAAGCAAACATATATTCTAACACAAATGGGTATAAATAATAATGGAGGATATATCATTCTCCATAAGATCTAAAGGCATCTCCCATCTCGATTGGCATGGGATCAGCCTTACCCACAAATTGTGGGCCACAATAGGAAGATCCGTATTCTCATTTTGACCTGCAAGATTTACCCTCTGCCAACACTATCACCACAGCAGACCTTAGCAATCGAGAACCCGTACGATCTCCAGAACGCTGCCGAGGCTAGTGCTAGTACAAGTAGGTTGCTTCACCAACGATCTTGGCCACTTGTAGTTTCTAACCATCATCGTCGAAACTATTTCGTGCAACTGCAGGGAAATTAGGCGTGAACGTCGCCACAGAGTTTGTCCTCAATCAAGCTACGCATCGTTACCTAAGGACTTCGGGCATTCTATAGGGTGTTGTTCGTAGTGTACGGGTACGATAGGGATGACTGAACTCCACATTACAGATTTAGTCTCTGCTGGCATCTTTTTTTTCGGACGGTTGTGTCGCACTAGCGAGGAATTCCCTGCCTAAGCTTGCCCGTATTCGTGAAGTATGTTTCAACGAACATTGCAGTGTTCTCTCAGTGTATTGGTGTCTAGTAATGTCATTCACCGACTCAGGCGTTCTAGTACTTGACAAGAAGGATCGCATTGTTTGGCTTGGGGGTTTGGCAGTCTGCGGTGGCTGCTGTGCTCTGGTTGGAGCCCTATCTCTGCCAAAGTGGATCCTACACGTCCTCATAGCCGTCACAGTCCTCTGGATAATCGTTCCAGTGGGAATTCTATTCTACCGCCAGAGCCGACGAGATGAGCAGCTTGCTGCTAATCTTGCTATCGATCTCGAGCTCGGCGAAACTGAGAAGAAGTGGTCTCCACCATCAGCTGAAGAGATTAGTTCCTTCGTTGATATGGTGAAGAGTGAATCCTCTATGAGTATATCTACTATCGATACCGCCGTTTCCCCCAAGTCCGACTGTGACGATCTATGTCCTATTTGCCTCGACGAGCATGGCCTTGGAGATTCTCTCTGCACTTTGCAGTGTGGTCATGTATTCCACGAGAGATGCATGGATGCTCTTGTTAGCCGGATCTATGAGGCAACGGCTCGGACTACTTCTCGAAAGAAGTGTGCTGATGAAGTTATGGGCAACATCAAGTGTCCTCTATGTAGACAGCCAATGGTGACACCCCCTTCTACCTGTATCACCCCAGTTTCTGCCTAGGTGATCCGCATATCACCGAAGCTGAACTAGGTCGCTGACATGCTGTAGTAGCCCTTTTTCGAAGGTTTGAAGATGCTGCTACTCTTAGCGTTGTCTAGTCTTAGTGATGATTGCTGTCTCCTGTGCTGTTACGATTCTGCAACATATATTGCTCTTTATTCTTCTTACTACCACTCCATCATCCCTCCCTATCTATTTGGGTATAATAAGGTGATGATAGTTCCGACCTTTTATACTCTCATATATGAATTATACCAATGACACACTTACGCGCTTTTCTTTCTACTCACAGGGTTATGGAAAGTTTCACCCTGTATCGGTATTATCCAGGTTTTAACCTTATCTCCTCAGTTCAGACGCTACTTGACAGTACAGCCGTCCTGTGGAGCATAAGGCTCTTCTGGATGTATCAAAAAGAAGGTATATCCAATCAATGGGGTTCGTTAGCTTCTGCACTACACATAGGAGGTTCCTGTCTGGACCGATGAAGCTTGGTCTTGATGGTTTCCTCTTTCTGCGTACTTGGTGGTTACTAAGGCTCTTAGGCCTTTCGCAATCACAACACTTATGTTTCGGTCTCGCCCCCCCCCCAGTAGTTGTAGTTGTGTTGACAAGTCGATTTTCAATATGGTGTTTTTAGTTGCTCTACATAGTATCTCTCCTACCATGTCCGACACCGCTGAAGGTTTCATGGAGATATCCTTTCCTCCTTATTTCCGTTGGGTTTGGCTATGTGGCGTTATACTCATAACAACATCGTTCATCGTCCTTGCGGGTATTCACGAGACGTTCCCTGGCTTGATCATAGCCTTCGGTGTAGCTCTGCTATGGATAGCTCTACCGGTCGTCATTTTACTCGTGCAGATGACGAGAAAATACGGGTTTCGACAGGGCCTCAAGAAGCTCCGGCAGGGTCCAGCGAGCCCAACTGATGGTATTCATCAGGTGCCAACGCCTGAGGATAAGAAGGCGTTCTTGGAGGCGGCCAAAAGTGCTTCTATGGTGACGCTGGATACCATGGGTGCACCGCAGGACCTGTGCCCGATATGTCTTGATGAGGAGGATATGGGAGATCCATTGATAACATTGAGGTGTGGTCATGTATTCCATGAGAAGTGTATCGATTCGGTCATCGATACAGCATACGAGAAGATGTATGCTCCTAATTATCTGGGATTACCAATACTACCTCGTGATGAAGTGTTGAACTCACTTCGCTGTCCTCTCTGCCGTTCCCAAATGACGGAGTTAGAGCACGACATCGAAGAGGGCAACCTCGAGCCTATCGTAGAAGCCAATGATGAGGAGGAGTCTGTTGTTGAGATGGCCGCCTCCGTCGTCATCAGCACACCGGTGGCTCGGCTCCCTCCCACATTCTACGCATCAACAGGGCGAGCAGCTGAGGTATCTCACATGCATCCATCACCATCTGTGATGCAGTTGTAGACGACCTATGGTCTCTACAATGCTATTTGTGCTGGCCTGAGGAACTACAGTGGTGACCCATGCAAGACAGGGTCTTGTATGGTTCGTCAATGTTAAGGCATTCTGTAAAACTGGTCTATGCTGGCTTCGGCCTCGTTAATCTGACTGCTGTCCGTTCATAGCCTTTGGACCAAGCTTGTATGGCTTGGTCCACTCTCTACTGTACTAGTCTCTATATCGCCTATATATCATCTATACTGTTCTATTCACATCAATCTGTATCGTTTCAGTCTCTATACGAGGGCCTCAAGCGGCACCACGTTGATCTCTTTATCCCACCAGCGTCACTAGTGAATACTTATTCACATTCTTATCTCCACTGCAGACGGTAGCCGTCCTTGCTGGATGGGCAGAAATGAGTTCGACTTGGTCAACCGGAGAGGTCCTCTGATAACTTCATCTCGACTGCTTCCTCGTGGGACCAATGAAGCTTGGTCCCAACCCTTAGTGGTCACTTCAATATTAGCACTATACTTGCAACGTTCGTGAATCTGTGAATTGCTTCCGAAACGTCGTTTTTGTTTTGTTTTGTTCTCATCGAATGGGGAGTTCTGTGGGTCTATTGGCATTCCACTCATCTAGACAGTTTTTTACTTGTCGTCGCATCTACTCCTGCTTCATTGCATGCCAGATAGTCGTGGTGATAGTATTATAGATCTAGCACTTCCCGGGCTGTTCAAGTGGGTATGGCTGGGTGGCGTTATGGCGGTGGGGACAGCATTCATTCTACTGGCTGCACTCCACAGGACCTTCTCGGATCTCATGATCACTTTCGCGGTGGGTTTGGTATGGTTACTCACGCCTTTGGCCCTTCTTATCATTACCCTTGCTCGACGGTATGGATTGAAACAAGCCATTCGTTACCTCAATCTTGGATTGGCAGGCGAGGAAGCTGATGCAGCCTTTGAGGCAGCATCGAGAGTGCCGACACCAGAGGACAAGCAATCGTTCCTGGCTACGGCTAAGAACGCGTCGATGGTCACGCTGGCGACCACGGCTGGTGCTGAGGACCTGTGCCCGATATGTCTAGATGAGGAGGATATGGGAGATCCATTGATAACATTGAGGTGTGGTCATGTATTCCATGAGAAGTGTATCGATTCGGTCATCGATACAGCATACGAGAAGATGTATGCTCCTAATTATCTGGGATTACCAATACTACCTCGTGATGAAGTGTTGAATATAGATGGGCGAGTTTACGTTACGGGCCGTTAACGTCGACGTTCACGGTTTACGGACGGAAAAAACGCGGAATTTACGGCCTGACGTAAACGGCGTTTACGCCACAGCTGCGCGCGCGTCAGCGCGCTCCTCGATTGAACCACCAACCTATTGTTCATTACTGCTCCACGCTAACCGCGATTCGAGATTCATTCACGGGATGTACCGCGACTGCTACAGTTTGTTTTGGAACATTCGCTCCTTTCCTAATGTCAACTGGTGAAGTCTCTGTGGTTGCGATCGATGACCCTTTCCTTATGAAGTTCCCAGGGTGGGTCCGGGAGAAGTCCGACGATGGCGAATATGCCCGCTGTCCTAAATGTGGGAGACTCATTAAGATAAGTAAGAAGTCTTCCAGTGGTGTCAAGTATCACCAAAAGTCTTGCGGGAAAAGGAAGCGCAGCGATCCTAGCAAAACTGGGAACAAGGAGAATCAAGCAGAGTGCAGAGAGGCGCTATATCAGTTTGTGGCCCACTCTGGCGTCCCGCTCTGCACCGTTGAGAATGAATACTTCAAACGCCTACTACGGTGCTTGAATCCACATTTCGAGGCTCCTAGCCGCCGAGATCTAGTTCGTCAATTGCGAGACAGAGTCGCCAATCACGTGGAGATGGTGCAAAGTAATTCAGCTACTCGGTCATGCTTGAACTGATCGCGTGGTTTGCTCTCAGAAAGGCTCGACGGAGTCTCTCAAAT